AGGGTTAGGGTTAGGGTTAGGGTTAGGGTTACAACAAACTGCATGCAGCGCCCCCTTCCCAAAGCCAGAGCGAGAGCGCCATCTGTCGTGGAGTTTGGGGTCACAATGCAGTGCCCGCAGCGCTCACTAGAGCCCTATGTTCTTGATTGACCTCAAACTGCATGCAGTGCCCCTTCCCACACTCAGGATAATACGGTAGAATTGAGAATTGAGAATTGAGCCAGAGAGCTCAGTAGAATTGAGCCAGAGCGAGAGCGCCATCTGTCGTGGAGTTTGGATTGACCTAGGAAAAAAAATCATGCATGCAGCAGCTATACAAACTGCATGCAGCGCCCCCTTCCCACACTCAGGATATACCACTGCCACAATGCTAGAACTATTTTCCATATATTCCTATACTCCATCTGTCGTGGAGTTTGGCAGCTATATACTATATAGCTAGCGTGCGGCAGCCAGCGTGTGTTGCAGATGAGCACTTGGATGGCATTTACAGGAAATTGCCGACAATAATAGGTGAAAGAGAGTAGGGAAACATTAAGACTTTGGTAGTAAAAATATATTTCGTATTTATTTAGCATTATATTTTATTGAAACGCTCCAAGTGCCTGTGGTCCAAAATGTATCAAAATGCGTATGCTCTTTGCCCGCCCTCTATTGGCGAACAAGAACAACATCACCATATCCGGGCCATCCTGGGTACGTAGATGTTTGTGCTTCCGTGTCAATGTTGCACTGTCAGCTGTAGACTGGTACTCGCTCCCACATCGATTACTCGATGGGTATACCTAAGCCAATAAGTGGGACCGGGTACCAGTCTATGTCAGCTGGAAGTGGCGTCGATCCTACGTTAGTTACTTTTCTAGAGTAAACTAATGCCTGCCCCTTCAGTATTCTGTACTCGTCCGTTTCTCGCTGGAAAACGACAACTTTTGACCAATCTCTGCAAAACCTCCGTAGATTTCAAGCAGTGCAGAAACATGAGGCTTCTACGATTCCAGGGACCCACTGGTCCAAGACTCGCAGCCGAGCGTAAAGATGGCCATGTCGTCGATCTAAACGCTTGTGCGGAGTTGGAACTGACGACTCCGGGGGATACGATAGAGTTTCTAACAGCTGGACCAGCTCTGTGGGAAACTGCAGAGCGGTAAGCAAGTCAGTTGAGGGGGCAGCCGGTGCAGCACAGTTTTGAACAAGGGGAAATTTATTTTTTGTTTTTATGCTGAGAAATTTCTCGAGGTGCAATTAAAAAACAGAGTGGCTATATGCCCGGCAGCCGGCATATATCATCTCCTACCTAGTGCTCTAAGCTGATCTGGTGTAAATAATTTAGCAATTGATTTTTCCTGACGCAATTTACTCTTGAGGAGATTCCTCTTTTCTTTTTGTACGTTTCGTAGGCTCTGCTTCAATTTCAACATCTGCTGTTGAATTTTTCGTAGTTTCGTATCTTGTTGTGGATGCTGTGGACGTTGTGGATGCTGTGGATCAGGATTGCCTGCAGCATTGTCATCTGTACTCCCTTCACCTACACAAACAAGAAAATTACAAACACGAATTTTGGAAAAGGGATATTTAAATGATTTACACGACACATGGCAAATAAATTTTTTAAATACACTTTTAAAATATGGGCCTAGATTTATTTTAAATCCATAATAAGTGTAATTGAGATTAAGCTTTGTGCGTAGTTTACTGGGCTGCACTAAGCAAGTGTGTGTGTGTGTGTAACTCACTTTCCTGTGGAGATGGTTCTGGTTGAGTCTGAAGAACATAGCTATGATCCATATCATGGCTAGAACTGGTAATGTCGTCATCGACACAAGTACTGGTTCTTTCCTTTGGTAGTTTTCTTTTTCGTGGAGCAGGGAGATGGCAAAATATCAGAAGCAGAGCATCAGACTTTAGCTTTCTCTTCTGGTCAGCCCTTCCATTTTCAAACTGGCTTGCTTCAAAGTGAGCCTTCAATTACATTAGGGAAGAAAATAAGAATTTTCTAATCAAAATAAAAAAATGTGGAGTTATTTGATCAACTATTTTAGCTACAAAACAGGATTACAGTACTCTTGAAATCTTGGTTTAAAAAAAACACTCACGTGCCAGCCTAAATGAAGCAGCTGTGCCACAATAAACGACTGATTAACTACATGCACAGTCTTACATGTCTTAATTCGTGGATTTGGGGTGGTGGAACTAATTATTCCTTGTTTATAATTTGAGGAAGAAATACAATTCGCTTGTTGCTTGTCACCAGAAATTTGAGACTAAGATTATATTCCCAACTGTACATAAAACAGCTAGGCATTACACATGGTTTGATTACATATATATTTATATTTATGTGTGCG